TAATAATATGAATATCAGTTTCGAAGTCACTGTTTATATAATCATGACCGTTTAATATCATTTATTTCTGAGATTACGATGTTTTGACGCCGTTGGTTCAATTAAAGTTCAGGACAGAGAAGTCGATTATAGCACATATCTTAATCAAGTTTTAAATTTGAACTTGGATGATCAAATAACACGTTTTTGCCTACCTTCCGGAATTGATTGCAGCACCGCCGGCGCCATGTTCCTCCACAACCTTTGACCTGAAACATGTGACTTGAGAAACATGTGACTAGTCAGGTGATGTGAGCTACGAGTATTCTCTTTTGGGATCCCGATTTATGATACATCACACCACAGTCATATACGTATAATATAAAGCTACATACGACTTTTATCACACGTCGATATATTGTCGACCCATGTGTATAAAAAATGCACCAGACGAACCGGTGACGTATTTATCATCTTTATGTTACAGGCGACTCGATCATACGTGTGTCGGTGTACTAGTAGCAAACGAGTGATGTGCCTTAAAAATAGTATTTTATGACAAAACAATTTGGACTGACGACTAAAGAGGGAAAAATTGAAAGCTGTTCATAAGCCTTCCTCCGGTAGAGAATTATTCCCCAACTCCCCTCAAGATTTTTTTTCACCCGTTTTTGAATTTTTTAAACATTTTCCCCTGCAAAACATTTTTTTCGATTTTCACAAACTGCTCCATTGATTATTTTCGTGTTTTTTTAATTTTTAATAACAATATATAATCCATTATGTATAATATCAAAACACAGGAATAGAAATATTACAAATTATTTTATTTCATTTGCGTTCATGAGGACGCCGGGAAAAGTTTATTTCAAAACAGTCTGTTGTCAGAAGAAGAAAAAACATAATGAATATTTGCTCCGTAAAATGTAGCATGAAAAATAATTTAAGATAAAAATGGACTGTTTATGATCAGTGACATACGTATTCTATATTAATTAATATGTAGACATTGTGTTTCGCCACCCCACCCCCCTCACAACGGTTCTTCATAATGTGGCTAAATTAGCCTCCAGTCTGATCTCGTCCCAATAATTGCAAAGCAGGCAAACAGCATGGAAATCGAGGATAAATTGCGGATAGCTGGTGAATTGAACACCGATTAAACCACTGCCCTCCACACAACAATGTTTCTCTACAGCGGAGAACACGCAGCTGATTCATGAGATATGATACTAGTATCATATTTGAGAATGCATTTAACATTGTCGAAAATCTTGTATTTAAACTCTATGCGTGCAAGTCTTCTGTCGTCGAGGTTGTGGTAAAGCATCAGAATAAAAATGTCTAAAAGTGCGGTGACAAAGATCTTCGTTTGTTTTTCTTAGTTACGCGGTATTTGTTATATATGGTGGCACTACTGTTATTTGGATTTCCGGGTTTGACTTCATTGCCCGAGGCTTGTTTTATTTAGTTTGTTTAACAAGTAAAGAAGCAGTGCAAATAACATTGATTGTTTTTGAGCTTATTTCAATTGTTTCTTTCGACTTTGCATCATTAGGGAAAGATTTGTTCGTAAAATAAAATCCTTGTTTTAGCAGTGAACATACCATCCGTTTGATGAAATAACTAATACACCATGCGTCCCTCATTTCCATATATGTAAAATGTGTTTAATGAATTCATCCACGTTAATAAATTGTGACCTAATGTGTTAACAATGAATGCCAAATATGAGTTTTAAAAAAGAAAACAAGTCTCGTTGAACACTTGGAAAATAGGTTATATATATAATTTGAATCCAAACCAAAATTGGGGGCGGGAATTATTCCTAACTGCAAAACAAACGCCATCGTGATGCCAGATATGTATATTTTAACGACATTCATTACACTCATCTACGTCATTCTGACGTCACAGGATCGTTTTATTGCTAGAGGGTGCGACTTATTAGAAATTTGTATAAGAACCCTGGGATTTGGTACAAGATCAGACACAATTTCATTAAACAAAATAATGATTAAACACCTTAAATCGACATTTCTCAATCTCAGACTTAATTGTTGTTGAATGAATGATCTTTATAATAAATAAAAAAAGTTAGCTTAGTTGATTGGGGTGACAAATTTATCAGACTCTGGTAATACTCAAGTCGTTAAATTCTAATCCACGGTGAATATAAGAGAATTACAGTCACGATACACGAAATCTGATGCAATGACGTCACGGTAGCACGGTAGTAGTCGAAATCTGCCTACGCATAGCGCTGCTTATATTTATCGCTACACACTATCGAGCAGCTGTAGAAAGGTTTCCGGTTTGGAAAGTCGAATTTTGAAAATAGTATTCTAAAGCACACTATATATACAGTAATATTCGTTGGATGACAGCTTATACGCATGCGCAGTCGTACGTATCAAAACCATTACTGCACAGGCGCAATATTCATTGTTGCAAGGAACGAATACTTGAATGTATGCTTCACGAACAACGTTTTTTAGTTCTTATAAAACATATTCCAATATATTCATTAACATACTGAATGTCAGATATCAGATAGCAATGTTAAAAATTCAATAATCTAATCAGCATTGATTCTTTAAAGCTTCGACCTATTAAGTAAAAAGCCAAACAAATGCCACGATTATTCGTTTCAAGTGTAACATAATTGTTGATTTTGACTCAAATCATCATACTTGTTTGTTTTTTTTTCTATTCAGTACGAAATACTTCGTTGGAGAAAAACTGTCTGATAAACATGCAAAAAAATGGGCCTTTTTGAAACTGTTTTCATAGGAATTCATGTTAAAGCATTATTTCATATCAAAATAAATAGTATTCGTCAGAATTTCACATATATTTCACAGGAACATAGCGTTCTACTCGAGCACAGTGTTCCACACAAACTTAGCATTCTACTAGAGTACAGTGTTCCACACGAGCCTAGCGTTCACACGTGAGCACAGTGTTGTACACGAACACAACTGGTGTTCCACGTGAGCACAGTGTTTTACACGAACACAACTGGTGTTCCACGTGAGCACAGTGTTGTACACGAACACAACTGGTGTTCCACGTGAGCACAGTGTTGTACACGAACACAACCGGTGTTCCACGTGAGCACAGTGTTGTACACGAACACAATTGGTGTTCCACGTGAGCAAAGTGTTGTACACGAACACAACCGGTGTTCCACGTGAGCACAGTGTTGTACACGAACACAATTGGTGTTCCACGTGAACACAGTGTTGTATACGAACACAACTGGTGTTCCACGTGAGCACAGTGTTGTACACAAACACAACTGGTGTTCCACGTGAGCACAGTGTTGTACACGAACACAACTGGTGTTCCACGTGAGCACAGTGTTGTACACGAACACAACCGGTGTTCCACGTGAGCACAGTGTTGTACACGAACACAACCGGTGTTCCACGTGAGCACAGTGTTGTACACGAACACAACCGGTGTTTCACGTGAGCACAGTATTGTACACAAACACAACCGGTGTTTCACGTGAGCAGTGTTATACACGAACACAACTGGTGTTCCACGTGAGCACAGTGTTGTACACGAACACAACCGGTGTTTCACGTGAGCACAGTGTTGTACACGAACACAACCGGTGTTTCACGTGAGCAGTGTTATACACGAACACAACTGGTGTTCCACGTGAGCACAGTGTTGTACACGAACACAACCGGTGTTTCACGTGAGCACAGTATTGTACACGAACACAACCGGTGTTCCACGTGAGCACAGTGTTGTACACGAACACAACCGGTGTTCCACGTGAACACAGTGTTGTACACGAACACAACTGGTGTCCCATGTGAGCACAGTGTTGTACACGAACACAACTGGTGTTCCACGTGAGCACAGTGTTGTACAGAAACACAACCGGTGTTTCACGTGAGCAGTGTTATACACGAACACAACCGGTGTTCCACGTGAGCACAGTGTTGTACATGAACACAACCGGTGTTTCACGTGAGCACAGTGTTG